ATTGATAATCAGGAACAATTACTCAGATATACTTCTAAGGTTTGGAATTCCACACAAAGAACTATTCAATGGTCAAAAAAGAACTTTTAGCCATTGTCCACTGTGTTTCTAAATTCCAAAGTGATATTCTTAATCAACCATTTCTTATACGAACTGACTACAAAGCAGCCAAAGATAGTTTGCAAAAAGATGTTCAAAATTTGGTTTCTAAACAAATATTTGCTCGATGGCAAGCTATATTATCTGCCTTTGATTTTTCAATCGAACACCTTCCCGGGTCTTCAAACTCCCTACCTGACTTTTTAACCCGTGAATTTTTGCAGGGGGAGCAACACTGACGCAAACGACGAATCACCACTGTCCCTAGCATTGCAATTGTTTGAGGAGAATAAAAATAATAATATTTTACTTTCACCTTCACCTAGTCCAATGGGTTCTCGAGGCACTTCTCGCCGAGACAAACAACCCATGTCGAATATATATATATATATATAGTCAATAGTGAAGAACTCTTTTGCCCATGGTAAAAGTAGAACTCAACTCTTCTAGCTATAATAAAAGTAAAACTCAAAATGATACGTTGTGACACCCAACTACACTGACCACCTAACCCAAAGCCATGTCCAGCGCGTGCGCTCCCATTAAAGAAATGCCTGCTCTCTACACTTCCTTAATCTACACTCTCACCTTACAAAATTGACACCATTTCAGCATTGTAGGCATCAACGAGCACATATCAAAAGTTGAAATCAGTACTAATTCGTTACTTATCTGAGTAGCATTTCCTTGTCTTATTGAAAAGGCAACAAAGAATTCATGGGATTTTCTTGGAATGGTACACAAAAATTTGCAAAGATACTGCACAGGCTCAAGTTTTTTACATCTTTTTCAGCTTTTTCTCGGTTGAAAAAAGCATAAATTTACATACACATGTGCAGAGTGAGAAAATATTTCATGCTCCCATAGGTGCATGCTGTGCATATGCTTGTGAGAAAAACTCGATTCAAATACTTACAACCCATTGATCAATCTCAAAAAAGAAAAAGGAAAAAAATTAATTTGCACTTTATATGTGATTGAAAAAGTGACGTCTGGAAGATTGGCTACGAACCGTCGAATTTTTTGAGGGAAAGATCTGGATGTTCAAGCAGTCAAAATCTAATTTCATTTGCCCTTGTATTAATAATCTAATAATAGTTAGATTGATCCCAAAAAAGTTTAACAATAAAATCCTCCAAAATATATAGATCCCAAAATTTTGGATCAATAAAATCGGCCAAAATATCTATTTAGCCTGAGGGAATTTTCTTACAGTATACTCCAGCGGAAGCATGCTATGCGCTCTCATATGTACATATGTCAGGTACATCCAATCACAGTTCTCTCTGCGCTTCCTCACACCTAACATGTTCGGGACGTCCACTGAATCCCTAAAACCAAATTTTCCCTTTTTCGGTAATCAATTTTGACGCAACAGGGATTTAATAAAGAATAATTGTTTCCTGTGGGCTGGACCTCATTTCTACAATATGCGGTCGAAAGAATAGAGCTGGATGCAAAAACGGGGTCCATCACAAAACAATTGAAATTAACCTTCCAAATGTTTTTTTAATAAAATTATTCTTTGTAATTTTAATTTTATTATTATAATTATTATATTCACAATCTCCATGTTAGAGATTACATGTCTTTAAAAATTAAGTCCAAGAATCCATTTAAAAAATAGATTTTTGAGAGACGCCTCATTTCTACATGGACTCATAGAAACTGTAATTTTATGCATAAAAAATTGTTTCATGCCGGCTAGACAGCATTTATGCAATACTAAGGTATAAAACATCCATTTTAAAAATAGATGTAAATAGGTGGTCCATTTAAAATTAAGTGTAACTACCTGTTCAAATGTTTTTTTAATATAATTATTATTTCTAATTTTTAAATTTATTTATTTTTTTATATTCATGATCTCCATCTTAAATATTATATATTCTCTAAAAATTAAGATTAAATTATATTTATTGTCAAACTTACATTTACAGGCTGGACGCGTGTACTTAATGAATATACCTGCTATTTAGTGCAGCACTTATTCCATGAGGGGATGGTGCAACACCAGGCCAAGGCAAATAAAATCCTTAAACAGAATCAACGGCCACGATAGACAGACAAATTAGTGGGTTGCCCAATGTCCAGACGTTCCATCCAATAACCAATGAAACAAGAGAGACTGGAGGTTGAACAGATAAGGGAGATGGTTTTAATGGTGACTCGATGAGTCTTGAAGGCAGAAGCTGACAATTCATACTTTCAAAGACAAAACTCTTGACTAGGGCAACTGGACCTTGAACGACAAAATTTCTTTCCATCTTGTTGGGCCTATCATTTCATGGTCTTTTACTTTTAAATACAGAACCCTAGCCAGACCTCTCCCTCTATTATTTGCAACTACCCTAGCCAGACCTCTCCCTCTGTTATTTGCAACTACCCTAGCCAGACCCCCTCCCTCTGTTATTTGCAACTATTAAGATAAGGGTGTGGTTTCTATAAGCTTGTAACCTTAAACAATTCAAATTTTATCATAATATATAATTTTGATATAAAATGTTATTAGGATTATCTCAAAATCTATTTTTATTTTTAATTATAAAATTTTAAATTTTAAAAATAGTTAAAATCAAGTAGATTTATAAACATATGAAAATCTTAAAAATGGATGATATAGATAATATGTTGTAAGATGCACCATTTTTGAGATTCAAAATCTTTTTATTTTTCATAATCATACATCTCGATGTCAAGATGATCAATCACAAGGTTTTTCAATATTAAAATAACCTTTTTCGATAGATTTTTGAGGTGCATCTATTGTTTTACATTTTAAGGTTGCAACCTTATATAAACTTTTTCTTTAAGATAAAGGGCCCTTATTATAGTTTTAATTACTAAAAAGTACCTCTACTTTTTTCTTTTTTAAAATTTTCATATAAATATGTATTTTATATTTTCCAAAAAGATTTTGTGGAAGACTTCTTTCTATTCTTCATGTTTGTCAAGATACGAACTTTTCTTACCCTTCGATTTAAAATCTCTGGATTTTAGTTTTGAGATAGGCTCGCTAAATGTAGTATTCAATCAAGAATATTAATAGTATCATCAAATTATTATTATTATTCTGGGTAATTCAGTGGGGATGACGAACCCCTATCATTTTTTAAAAATTGTTAGTGGTTTTTTAATTCGTCCGGTGAGAATGGAAGCGTACACATTAGCTGAGACACAAATTATGCTACCATTAGCTGAGGCACAAATGATGCTACCACTAAGACGTCAACCCCATTCTCCTATCATCAAATTCTTGACAACAAATTCTTCCAACATAACAGCTTTCTCTGCAAAAGACCAAGAGATTGCGTATTATTTCAAATACAACACAAACCATGAAATCATCAAATAAAATAGGGCAATTACAAGGAAAGTGAGATAGAGATTGAAAACGACGGGGATTTTTTTTAAAATGTTTTTTTCACCTTTACTGGGGAGTATCTTCACGGACCCTAGTTGAATTTCTTGGATTACACATGATTAGAGAGAAAACCACTAGCAATGAGCATTTTAAGTCGTTTTCCCCTCTTAAAAAAGTTTATGGGAGGTTATTGATCATCAAGGTCGATTACGACTGCTAAATTACTAATGACTGTGATCTTTCTTGAGGCCTTGATCATCCTATTTATTTTTTTCCTTTCATGCATTTACCATACCTCCCCAATGACCTATTGGCGTATAAGTCCCATAATATTTTCAATTAAGCTTAAACAATTTTTTTTTTTCGATCTTTAATGCTCACGTGCTGACTTTCCCATATCTCTACCCTTCGTTTGGTTTTATTTTATTTCACTTTTCAAACCCAAAGCCCAATTTTGTTAATGGACTAATTCCCCATATAGAGATTCCATTTATACACCGCTACCTAGAGTTGAAGTTGCACTAAAAAAGAGTAGGGAAGAGATGGCTAAAAGATGGCTTAGCATAATCCAGCCCCCTACTTATGGCGACTCCATAACAATTTTAAGCATAGATGGTGGAGGGATAAGAGGGATTATTCCTGCAACTATACTCGCCTTCCTTGAGTCTCAGCTTCAGGTACCAACTAACCATTTCAGTCCATGCCCTTTTCTTCTATATTTACTTGTATGCCTCAAACAGGGATGGCAAACTCGGCCCGTTCAACTCGGAAACAGCTGCTAAAACCCGAACCGGACCTTAGCCGTTCCGGTTTTAACTGGGTTTGGTGGTTGCCGGGTATTCTAAAAAATGTTCAAAAAATATAAAATTACAAAAAATAACGGATTTGTTTGTAATATGTTTTTGAATGTTTTTTTTTCATTTTGACAAAGATTGGAAAGTGTTTTGGCCATGAATATTTATTTTTATGGTTTCCCATCTGTTTTAGAAATTTTTGAAAATACTCCTTGGCACAAATCGATTTTTTAAAATTCATTTTTTTTTTCATTTGGATGTGTTTTTTTTAATCATGCTTTACAATATATTTTTGAAATTTTTTTTGTACTTTTTCTATTTTTTTAATACCTTTTTACCAGCTGGCACCTATCCGGTTAGGCCCTTTGAACCGGCTAGTTTACTGGTTTCTTGGACCCGGCCCTTGGCCGGTTTGGGAGGACGGTTCGATATTTCCATCACTGGCCTCAATTTTTTGGCATAAAGGATGAGAGAGGGAGAAAACGATTATGTTAGTTTTGTCATTTCCTAACTAAATTCATAGCTTGAATTGTTATATTTTACTTTAAAAAATACCATCATTTTTCACTTTTCGTTCAATAATTCCATATATTTGGCCAAACCAAAAAAGTATCAAACCTAGGTCAGCTCGGAGCTGCAAAAACAAAAGAGAAGCAAAATCAATTTGTAAAATGTGTTCCTTAAGGGAAGCGTTTCATTTAAACAGAAACTTGATGGTGAAGAGATGAGAATAGCCGATTACTTTGATGTAATTGCAGAAACGAGCACCAAAGGCCTTGTAACAGCCATGCTCACTGCTCCGGGCGATGACAACCGCCCTCTTTTCGCTGCGAAAGATATAACCTCCTTTTATCTTGAACACTGTACCAAAATCTTTCCTCAGAGGAGGTAATGCATATTCTCGTTACTACAAACCATAACTAATACCAACAATCATGTAAACAAATCTTTTGTTTCTCTGTACTGCCATACAGAGGACCTTTTGCCTCTTGCCTGAAGTTCCTAAACGCAGTGGTTGGGCCCAAATACAATGGAAAATACCTCCATGATGTTGTCAAAAGGAAGTTGGGGGACAAGAGCATAGCCGAAACTTTAACCAATGCAGTGATTCCAACTTTTGACATTAGACGTTTGCAGCCCATCATATTTTCCACCTACCAGGTAATTTATTACCTTTGCATTTCTGCCTTTTATTTCGTACCACACACATATACGGGCTTCCTAATCTATTGATGTGCACCAAATTTGGTGAGTTTCTAGTAGTTTTCTTTTATCCTTTCATTTCATTTTTCTCTCTCTTATGGTAAGTGCTTTACCACGAATACTTTAGGCCTTGACTAACCTTTTCATTTGTTTCCCATAAATTATTGGGACAATTTAAAACAACTGCCAAAACTATATAACTTACCCCCAACCTAACTTTTTCTCTCATTTTTTTCTCTAAAAGATACTTTCTATGCAAAAGCCCCCAACCAAAATAAAAAAAAAAAAGTGTCTATACTACTTTCTCTTACTTTTACCTTACTCACGCCTCTTTCTCCTCTATCCCACCAAAATAGGGTGTTCCGGCACCGTGTAAATGTGGTCTGGCAGTAGCGCTCCGGCACTTTGTAAAGTTCGGTATGACAGTAAGGCTTTCGTACTGTGTAAAGTACGGTCTGACAGTAGGGCTCTGGCACTGCGTAAAGTGTGGTCTGGCAATTGAAAAGGGCGTCCGCTTCGGCAATGTGCTACTCGAGTCCAAAAGTCAATTTCAAATCTATCCAAAATGATTTTTGTGTAGAGAAAGGGCATTTCTATCTAAAAAAATGAACTTTTTCTATTAGGAGGTATTTGTATAGAAGGTCTGTTTTGGAGAAAAAAAATGAGAGAAAAAAATTAAGTTGTAGGTAAGTTGCATAGAAAGTGTGATCTTAGTTTTTTTTTTGTCTTTTTTTTTTTTACAATTTTTTCTAAATTATATGCATGGTAATTTGGTATTCCTCGGAAATATTTTGAAAACAACAAAGTCAATGGTTACCAACGTTTAGGGTCCCATTACGTGATGGAAATAAACGTGTGGTAGACTAATGCATCACACACTTCCGAGTGCATACACTATGTTCCGTCGAGAGCATATTATGTATCTACCCCCTTGGGCAAATCACTTTCTTGGAGATTGTTTTTATTTTTTTGTTGAAATTTTGGGATTCATTGTGATCTTCAAAGAAAAAAAAATTTTGGATTTTGAGTTATTGAATATTTAGATCATTTCCACTAAAAATTGGAATGTTCCATTGTAATCTTGAGGTGCCATTTTCTTTAGGCACATGAGAGAGTGAGGAGTTTTTTTTTGTTTTATTTTATTTTCTTAAATTTTTTTTTATTTGAGGCCGGTTTTTTTTTTTTTTTGGTAAGTATTTGAGGTTGGTTTCGAGGTTCTGGAGTTAACATCGTCAAAAACTTATGGTCTAAAAGATATCCATAGTATAAGTTTTGAAAGAGAGAGTAGATGGATATTACTGTTGGAATTGGCAATCTTTGAAGTTTTTGGGTTTTTTTTTTTAAAAACTAGAAACTCACAAAAACTACCTGTTTTTGTTCCACTCAATTGGTTTTTCTTTTTTCAAATCTAGAAAATAATTAGTCGGTATACTATGAGATGTACATCAAGTCAATGTACTGGATCGATGTGTTGGATGTTGATAAAATGAGAGTGTTCCAAGTTATAACTACATATGTTCAGTCCGAACAACTCTTAAAACATCACCCCCCAGCTCAATTATGTGGCGCTAATGGGCCCTATGGCTAATACTATTCTCGAAGTCAGTCAGGTCATTGTATAATTACCGAAAATGATTATGATGCTTATGTATGGTGAAGATTATTAAGCCCACTGTATCAGGTAAAACTTGTTAAATCTTAGAAGCATGTGTGTCTTCCTGCAGGTAAAATCTCACAAATCCAAAAATGCCGTGCTCTCAGATATTTGCATTGGCACATCTGCCGCTCCAACTTACCTTCCTGCCCACTATTTCGAGACAAAAGGGTCAAATGGGAAGCTGAAGAGCTACCACTTAGTTGATGGTGGGGTAGCTGCCAATAATCCAGTTAAGGCCTTCGATTATTGAAGATCTAATGAATTTTTTTCTGTTTTCCTTTTTTCATTTTTTTCCTCCTGCTCAATAGGTGTGGACGAATTTTCAAATGAATTTGAATCAAATTTCTTACTTCATTGGATTTCTAGTTGTTATTAGTAGGCTTTGTAGAGAAAAAGGGTGTGTGTATCAAGTGTCAATCATAAACAATCAATAGGCACATTCAGCACATGTGTTAAAAAGCCCTGTGATGGTCTGAAAACCTATTATCCTCCCTATTATCCTCCGTGCTTATGAAATTTTAAGCTAAAAAAATGGTGCAGATTAATTAGATTTACAGACACATGAATATCTTGAAAATGGACGATCTGGGTAATATGTCACGAGACAAAAAAATTTTATAAGTTAAAATCCTTTTTGTTTTTCATAGCCATACATCCCAGATGATCAATTAGAAGTTTTTCTAGCATTGAAACTATTTTTTTCATCGGATTTTTGCGATACATGTTACTTCTATAGTACATGGTCAACACCTTATATAAACTTCTTCTAACAATAATTTCCCTTTTCATGTATACGTAAAGTAGGGTGGCAATGGACCAAGCCTGGGCTGGGCCAACGTTGGCCCTAGCCGGCCTAAGAGGGCCCGGCCTAAGCAGGGCCTAATGAAAAAAGAAAAAGAAAAAGGAGAGGGCTAGGCCGAAGCAAGCCAACTTTCACTAGCTGCCGACCCGGACCTACCCTCGACCGTAGTTGCCTGGCCCTCTGGCCACATTTTTTGGTCTAGGCCATAGTTGTTTAGGGCTGGGCTGCTCTGGCTAGGCCAAGCCAATACTAGTAGGCCCATTGCCACCCTTGTCATAAAAGTATCACCCTTTAACAACCAAAGTAAGGTGTACTTTCAAACCTTGTTGAAATACATAATTTTGGTATTAGAAATTCCTATGATGCCCAAATACTTCATTTTCACATCTAATTATGAAATTTAAAACTCCAAAAGTATGGTAGAATGAGCAGAACTATGATCACCTGAAAATCTGAAAATAGACAGTCCATAAAATATATTAAAAGATGCACTATTTTTATCACTTGAATCCCATTTTGCGTCATATCCATATATCTCAAGGTTAAAATGATTAATTGGAGGGTTTTCTAACATTAAAATAATTATTTTTTATAAATTTTTGAGGTGCACCTTACTTCTATAGTACAAGACACCTGATATAAACTTTTTCCATACATAAAATGCCTCATGAGGAAACATTGAAACTAAGATGAGATCGCTGGTTTAATTGTAGAACCATTTTGTTCCCATAACAATTGGCTTCTTTTTAGGAAATAATGAGTTTGTCTTTTCTTTTTAGTATTTTTTTCTTTTTTTACAAAGTGTTTTTGCACAAAACATGTCAGGAAAGTTTACCTCAATTTTAAGAAGGGAATTTAACAGAAAAAGATTCCTTGTGATCTCTCTTGGCACTGGTTCACACATATCTTGTGAAAAGTATAGTGCTCATGATGCAGCAAAGTGGCGGGTTTTAGGTTGGTTATACAACAGGCCATTAGTTGATACCTTTCAACAGGCCAGTGCAGACATGGTGGACATCCAAATGAGTGTTGTCTTTCAAGCCCTTTATTCTGAACGTAGTTATCTTCGAATTCAGGTAAGTACACATTAGTCTCCCTCTCATGAAGATGTGCATTCGTGTATATGCATATATTCTTATTTGCAGTTGTAATTTTTTTTTTTTTTTGGGTAAATTAGTGGACCAGAAAACTCCCTACCTGGTTTTCAATAATCCAAGATAGAAAAAATTGCATCATACTATTTTACAACCCTACAATATGGCAATTACACCACATCATGAAGTAAAGAAAGATGAAAGAAAACTACATAATGTATGTATTTGGGTTTTTCTAGAGCGCGTATACTGTGCTTCCTCGGAAGCATAGTTCAGTTCTACTCCCTTGGTCATATGACCTACTTGGGAGGATTCTTTCAATCTAAAATTTTGGGAACCACCTAAGAATCACAGGATGATTATTCTCAAAAAAAAAAAAATGAAATTTGAGTTTTCCAACACTTAGATGTCACCCTCTTCTATTCGGTCTTGGAACATAATTTTTTTCAAGTGTTTAGAGGTGCAAATAGAAAATAGTTTTATTGCAGTTAATCTATAGGTTTAAGAGGTTATATCTCCAATATTTAGGAGACTAAAATTAATCCTAGGTGGGGTTTTACCAGAGAGAGTAAATTGAGTAGTAGATTCCCAATGGAGTAGAATATCATATGGCATTTTTTATGGTTTTCGTTATCATATGAGGTGCTTACTTGAACAAATAATCTACCACATATTCACATTTCTGAATACTAAAATATCACCGAGTTTATGTCAGAACTATAAACATGGAAACATTCAAATTTTACCCTCTACCAAAATAAACTCCACTTTTATTTAAATTTCATCACCTAGCTGAGATCTCTCTTTTATCTTGAAAAAGTAAAATAGAACCGTGAATCTTGATCGAATTATAATGGAGAAAGCATGATAAAAGGAGTACTACAGGGACTGAATTGAAATTATATTGTGAACTAAGTTGCAGTGTATTTTGATGATACATAAGTCCAACTGTGTACTACTGCTTGATGGGTGAGGTTCGTATAAGGTTGTAGAAGTAAGGTACATCTCGAAAATTTGCTTAGAGATATCATTATTTATCGGAAACTTTGTGATGGTTTCAAAATCTATTTTCATCTATTCTTATAAAATTTAAAATTTCAAAATTGGTATAAATCGAATAGATTACTAAACACTTGAAAATCTTTAAAATAAACCGTCCATAAAATTTGTTACAAGATGTACTATTTTTTGAATTTGAAATTCTTTTTTCATCGCAAAGTCGAAATGATCAACTAGAGAGTTCTCCAATATTAGAAAACTCCCTTCTGCAAGAATTTTGAATTACACGTTACTTCAATAGCATAAAGTTACAACCTTATATAAACTTTTCCATACTTTGATATCTCTACACTTTTTGTTTTTTTTTTACACACAAACTCTCACTCTTCACAAACTTATATATTTGTCTTCCTCTTTCTCTCTCTAAAATACAACAACATATTTCTGCATATCTCTAGAATTCTCCATATTAACTGCTCTCTACAATTGTCTAGGCTTTATTCATGGGGACTCTACAATAAACCACCATCATCATCTTCATCATCATAGTCTTTTACAAGAGCCCATGCCCTGTTTATATGTGAATACCACATGAGCAAGCACTCATAGATGTAGATTGTTTGGCTTTTGGACAAAAAAATTTTACTTTCAGTTTACCCATTGCATTCAATTCCCTACAACACTTGGGAATTAACAATATCAAATTACAATTTGTTTTTTTTTGCTGCTCCCCTAAGAATTAATTTTCTCTTGGGAGAACGACGTATACTCTCTCTAAAAATTGCTATCCCAAATAATCCCCAGGGCTTATAAAAAACTTAAAAGAAAAAGGTTATTTAACCCCCTTGTTCATTTTATTTTTTATTGTTCAAATTACTCTATTTACTACTATTCTTTTTTCTAATAACCTCATCATCTATCTAGAGTTTGCAATTCCTCTTTTAAATTACTTTTGCGGTTCATAAAATGAGAGAGAGAGATAAATATTCACGAAAGGTTGCTAGAGAGAGAGGGAAGAAGAGAGCTTTTCTAGGATTTAGATAATATAGTGATTAAGAAAAAGTAAAGAAGGGTAGATTCTATAATTTAGACAATGAAGAAGGTAAGGAGGAGGTTAAACATCATTTTTTTTTGCTTAACTTTAGGGGTTTCCTGAGCTTTTTATAGTACCAGGGGGTTATTTAGAATTATAATTTTCTAGAAGGGGGGTATATGACATTTTAACTTTCACGTGACAATTTTTCAAAAAAGTGGGAACAAAAATTGGTTTTAGACAGTCATATTCTGGAATTTTTCACACACAACTGAATGTGTTTAGGGCCTTAATCATCTCTGTAGTTTATTTAAGAGTTGGATAGGTATTTCTATTTTCTTTTGCTAGCCCAAATAAAAAATAGTACTTCATGTGATATTGAAAGTCCTGACGTCTGTTATCGTTAATCTTGTTATTAGGATGATAATTTGACAGGCACTACATCCTCCGTTGACATAGCAACCAAGGAGAACCTAGAAAAACTTGTACAAATTGGTAAAGATCTTCTCAAGAAATCCGTTTCCAGAGTGAATTTGGAGACTGGTCTATTTGAGCCAGTGGAAAATGAAGGCACCAATGAGCAAGCCTTAATTAGGTGGAATAATATTCCCATCTACATTTGACATCACCAAATGAATCTTGACATTCATGCCATCATCCATTAACAACATTTATGTATCATTGTTTTTTGATTCTATGCTATTAGATGTTTTATTAATGGCACGTTTGATTGGAGTGAAATTACTTTCTAGAAACATTTTTACAAGAAAAAATTCTCTCATGTGGTTAAGTGTGGAGATATTTTCATATCAATTGGTCTTGCTGCATCTTTTTACATCAATAACTAATTGATGTAAAAATATTCGCTTACTTAATCACATGAGACAATGTTTTCATATGAAAATGTTTTCCGGAAAACAATTTCACAAAGTGCCTCCTTTTTTAATCGTTTCCTTCCTTTCTACTCTTCTATTTATTTGTTTATTTGCAAGTTTTTGACAAATTATTTTCTGGAAAATAAAGTAAAATATAAAGAAATGGGGTGCCAAACTCGAAGAATTACATTGTATTTAGAGCTAGGTCAAGTATTTCTATCATCTGTTGTATCAAGAGCCTAGCCTTGCTATTAGCAAAATGGATAATTATAACAAATACGAATTATGCTTGTAACCATGATTTCTAAGAAAACTCAACTCTCATCATGTTATGGTATTCTCTTGCAGGTTTGCAAGGTTGCTATCAAAAGAGAGGAGACTTCGGTGGCAGAGAACACGTCTCACACCAGTTTAAATAAGTTTACCAAGATAGTGCTAGAATAATGGAGAAGGAATTCATTAGTTTGTTTGTACTTTTCTTGGCCTTGAAATCCATTGAAATCTTCTAGTACGTGTTTGAGTGAGATGTGATCATAAAACATGTAGACTCAACAAAATAAATATCCTAGTTAGGGGCATGTTAGTCGATCCTATGTATGGCACTGACTTCATATAAGACAGAATGAGGTTAGAATGATGGATTTACAAAATATTTAGGTGCTTTTTAAATAAAAAGCAATTTCTTATAAAAATTTATATTTAGATACAAAAAGTTAATCTATGTAGGTGCTTTTTAAATAAAAAGCAATTTCTTATAAGAAGTTATTTCTAGATACAAAAAGTTAATCCATGTGCAAAATTTGAGAGTGAGAGAAGAGTGAATTCTTGTAGCCTTTGAGTGAATATTCTAGAGAGACATATGTTGGGATTGATTGCTGAAAAATCAGTAGGGTTTATAACATTTACAGCTATTGTGCAATGGAAACTACATAATATCTAAGCAAGAATATGGAATGAAAAATCCAGCAACATTCAACCACAGAGCATAAAGATTTAATGTGATTAGGTCACACATCGTGATCTACATCCACGGGAGAAATGTGCAAGACTTTACTTACTGATTTGGGAATAATACAAAGTGAAATCAAGCTCAAAATATCAATTTCCAGTAGCTATTTCTTACTCTAAACAGCGCCAAAAAACAAGGCACCAAGAACACTAAAAAATGGGTTATCGTTAACACTCTCTCACTAAAACAAGGCACACAGCAAACCCACAATGGAGTTTAAGCCTTTTGCTCACTTTCTCTTTAAAAAATAACGCATACCACGCTCCTAAGAGAAAACCCAATTACAGCCCAGTCTCTCTATCTTTTTCTTTTTCTTTCTCTCTCTAAACAAAAGGGTTTTAATCCCTTTAAAAGAGTAAAGTTCCTACAACACCACAACTATTGGATTAGATGCAATCCAATGGCCCAAAATAAAAGAGAGAAAGTTAAATAAAACTCCCACATATATGATTTGTTTTCATACATGTAACAATCTCACACTTGAAGACAAATCACAAAGTCTTTAAAATAATCACCAATGCACCACTCTCCATCCACCCGAGGTTATGTCTCCTCCAACCCTAAAAGTCTTCTACACATCATATTCTTTTTAGTTATGACAACCTTTATCAACATATCAGCAAATTTCTTCTCAGTGTGAATATGTTGGGGCATGATGCCAAATCACCATCCCATGTGGTATTCTCCTTCTTCTTTTGGCCATTTTTTTCATTTTGAATGGAGGCCCTTAAAAAATGGTCATATAGAAAAGTGGAACGCGCGGATGAGTTAGAGAAAAACACGCGAGTGTGTAAGAAAAGGGTGAAAATAGAGAGAGAGTTTTTCAGGGAAAATTTGGGGTTTCAGCGATAGAACCCTAGCGCTGGGCCACTCTTGTCAGCATTTCTTCGTGGTTACGGTAAATCAAAGAAAGGAGTCGACTGTAGGTAGTTTTGTGGTAGGAAGTTCTTTGTTTTTTAGCATTCCTTGATATTATATAAGGTAACTCTATATAACCCCAATCTTGTATGTTTTTCTCTTGATAGTGATACATATTTGCCATCTTGCCTGTGGACGTAGCCCATTTTGGGTGAACTACGTATATGTGCATGTCCCTCTCTATTTTTATTTGTGTTGTAGTTTGAAGATTTTCCATATTGATTGATTTTTTGTTTATATATTTTTCCCAATTATATTGCACTTGTTATTGCATCTTGGGTATGCTATTTTAGTATTGAAATCATAGGGGTGTAGTGCTCACTACATCTAATGGGATTTGAGATATCTTGATTTGGTCAAAAGAGGTCATTGGGTTATCCTGATTTACAACAAGTGGTATCAAAGCTCAAGGAGTTAGTGTAGTACTTTTGAAAAAATGACATCTCACAAGTTTGAGGTAGATAAGTTTAATGGGAAAGATAATTTTAAAATTGGAAATTAAAAATGCTAGATTTATTTGTACATCAAGGGCAACACGAAGCATTACTTAGAAAAGAAAAGAAACTGGTAAATATGATCAATGATGATTAGGATGAACTCGATATGAAGGCACGAGCCACTATTCGCTTGTGTTTAGCGAATGAAGTTTTATTAATATTGTTGGTGAAAGGATGGCAAAAGATTTGTGGGAAAAATTGGAAAGTTTGTATCAAACAAAATCTCTCACAAACCTATTTTTCTTAAAAAGAAAATTTTATTCCTTGAGAATGAAAGAATGTGTTAATGTGTTGCAGCACTTGAATTAGTTTAATAACCTCATTTGTCAACTTGAGAGTATTGATGTGAGAATGGATGGTGAAGATAAAGCTGTCACCATGCTTTCTTCATTGCCAGAAACCAATTATGACCTTGTTACTACATTGAGTTGTAGTAAAGATGATTCTATTGATTTGGGCTCGATGTGTAATGCTTACTTGCCGATGAACTTCGAAAGAAAGCATCTTTGGGAAGTTCGGTAGAATCGAAGACGAAAGCTCTTGTGGCAAGAGGTCGATCGAATGAACAAGGTGATTCATCAAGGAATCATTTAAGAAGTAATTCAAAATTTCGATCAAAATATATAGGGCCTAATAACAAGAATGTGTGTTGATACTGTGGGAGGCCCGGTCATATAAGAAAGAATTGTTTTAAAAGAAATGAAGTGAATTCTTCCAAAGTTCCTAATGCACGATGTGAAAAGTCAAGTGAATCCAAGAATAAAACAAATCAAGCTGAAGAGTCTACATCCGATTTTATTGAAGATGAAGATTGATGGTGGTATTTAATTCAATATTCTATCAAAATTGGATACTTGATAGTGGAGCTAGCCATCCCAAATGCCCCCATAGATCATGGTTGTACTCTTATGAGTCATGTGAAGGAGGATCGATATCCATGGGTAATAATTCCACTAGCAAGGTGGTTGGAATGGGTTCAGTTCACCTAAGGAAGTTTGATGGGACTATTCGGGCAATTAAGGATGTTATGCATATGTCGAAACTAAAAAGAGCTTGATTTTCCTCTCTTCTCTAGATTCGGAAGGTTATAAGTTCACCGGTCAAGGTGGAGTAATCAAAGTTTAAAAAAGGGCTTTAATTGTGATGAAATGAATCCTAGTTGGGAGCTTGTACAAGTTATTGGGAAGTACAACAATAAATGATGAAGTTAATTCCATGGTCGAAGCTGAAGAAGTTTCATTCGCCTATGGCATAGAAGATTGGGGCATACAAGTGATAAGAGTATGAAGATGAATTTTATTCCTACACTAAAAATTGATGGATCCGAATTTTGTGAGCATTGTGTTTATGCAAAACAATATAGACACTCTTTCAAGACCGAGAAGCATATAAGCAAGTGCATACTTGATTACATTCACTCGGATGTATGGGGCTCTTTACCAACGACATCTTATGGTGGTGCATTATATTTTGTTTCATTTGTTGACTTCTCATGAAAGGTATGGATCAAAACTCTCAAGTCCAAAAGTGATGTGTTTTGTGCATTCAAGAATTTTAAAGCCGAAGTTGAAAAATCTGCGGGGCATCACATCAAAGTCCTTCAAATCAATAATGATGGAGACTTTGTATTAAAGGAGTTCGAAAAATTTTGCAAGGCTGAGGGAATTACTGGGCATTACATAAATGCCAACAATCCTCAACAAAATGGTATCGCCGAGAGGATGAATCGCACTTTGATGGAGTGTGCGAGGTGCATGTTAAGCAATGCCGGTCTAAAACAAAAATTATGGGCAGAACACATATCAATAGCTTGTTATCTTATCAACCGATCACCTTCGATAGCATTGAGAAGTAAAAGTCCTAATGAGGTATAGTATGGAACTCTAAATGACTACTCCGATTTAAAAAATTTTGGTTGTGATGCATATGCACTTATTCCAAGTTGCCAAAGGAACAAACTGGATCCAAGGTCAAAGAAGTGCATCTTTGTGGGTTATAGCAATGGTGTGAAGGGGTATCGGTTATGGGATCCAAGTACCCGAAAAATAATCACTGAGCGTGATGGGTATTTTGATGAATCCAAGGCATTGACAAAGGGGATGATGATAAATGACAATGGTCAAGAAGTACAACATGAGAGCCCGAAACATTTCCACCAAATACAATAATGCCTTATGAGAATATACCCATTGATCATGGTGAAGAACATGAAAAAGTAGATAGTCAAAATGGAGAATCACATGGCCATCATGATGAAGTTGTGTCTTTAGCACATAGGTGCTCTACTAGAGAAACTCGTGCACCTGGGTGACACAAAGATCATGTGGATCCAAATACTTTACATGCTTTAATAGCCGAAAATGAAGAGCCAACATCATTCCGTGAAGCCATTGATAAAAATAGTACTGAGCATTGAAAAAGAGTTATGAAAGAAGAGATATTGGCCCTTCAAAGAAACAAGACTTGGGATTTGGTGGAGCTACGAAATGGTAGAAAGGCGGTTGGTTCTAAATAGGTGTTCAAGATAAAGAAAAGGTTTGATGACAAGCTTGAAAGATATATGGCAAGATTGGTGGCAAAATGATTTTCGCAAAAGGAATGGACGAATGGGATGAATGAAGTTGATGATGAATGCGATGTTGGTGAAGGACTGTTTTGTATTGGCTTCAGAAGGCAAGAAAATAAGTTTGAAAAATAGATAAAGAAGAATTTGATGAGAGTGATTAGTTGACCATGGAAGTGTACTTTAGCCTTTGATGAATCAATTTTATTAAATGTCACCTAAACAAAATGGGCAAAGGATTTATGTAAAGGCCAAAAAATAATAATAAAGATAGATCTCTTCCTAAAATTTTTTTTAACAACATTATAATCTCTAGATAAGTTATGGCACATCATTGCAAGGGAGCTTGAATGAGTTTAATTTCCCTGTTAGCAAGTCGATGGCACCAAATGTTAAAATAAATCAGAACATAAAGAAGTCATATTACTTTGTTCTATACCAGAATAATGGGATATACCGATTATGAATCTTAATAGTGCAAAATCCCCATAAAGAAGTCATATTACTTTGCTCTATACCAGAATAATGGGATATATCGATTATGAATCTTAATAGTGCAAAATCCCCTAATGTGATTATGTTGTGTTACCAGTCCTTGCAGAGGAGTCTAAGCAAAAGTCCAATCAATATTCCTTTAGGAATGTGTTTGTAGCATGCATAATAAGAAGTGCCGGAAGATATTGCTCAAGATCTGATTAAAAAAAGATATAGGAAAGTGAAGTATTCATGTGAAGAAAGATATCAAGGCGCAAACAAAAAATCAAGAGACCTTTAAATCGGGTACGAATAAAAAGTTTAGTTCAAATGAGTATATTGTAATATAACTATAAAACCAGGTTTTGGGAATTAAATATTCATAAAAAAAAATTCCAATTGATTGTTTGTGCCATTTTGTCACAGTTTCTAATTTTTTTTTTTTTTTCCATTTTATCGATTTAATCTTCAATATTAAATCATTTTTTTTACAATTTGGTGCATTTGAAAGATAATTGAAGCCTTTAATAATAAGTATGTTGATTTGTTTGTTCTACAAAAAATTACGGCCTGGTTTTTGCTCGAAATGTTGTTGCTAGAAAACATGACCGCAATCCAAAATTGAATATCCTAATAGATTTATAACTCGTTTTGGATCAAATTGAGTTGTAGCTTTTTATCACCAAAGCTTCATCTCTCAAATAAATTAGGTAAATTTATTTATCATTTAGTATTTTCTTTCTATGAATATTTTCCTACTCGCATGGGTTGAAAAGTTTACAGTTCAAAAAAAACCATTATTTTTATCAATTTAATCTTCGATATCAAACCAGGTTTCCTGAAATTTTATGCATTTGAAAGAGAATCAGAGCCTTTACATAACATATGTGCTGATTTGTTCGATCTACAAAAGATTGTGGGTCGATTCTTGCTAACATTGTTGTTGCAAAAAACATAACCCCGATCCAAAATTGAATATCCCGATCGGTTTATAGCTCATTTTGGATCAAATTGAATTGTGGTTTTTTTTATCATCAAGGCTTCATCTCTCAAATAAATTAGATAAATTTATTCATCATTTAGTAATTTTTTCAATGAATTGTTCTTGCTCGCACTAGGGTTCTGGAAATCTGCCATTTTATCAATTTGATCTTTGATATCGAACCATTTTTATTGTAATTTGGAGTGTTTGAAAGAGAATTAAAGCTTTTATATAATACAAGTGTTGATTTATTTGATTTACAGAAGATTGTAGGTCTATTTTTTTCTGAAATGTTGCTCGATTTTAGAGGTTTTTGAGAAATCGATTTTTCTAACATAAAACTTATTTTGCCAAATAAAGTTTGGTATTTTGATGAATATGGCCTCTTGATACATATGGTATGGGAATAAGTATTTTTCTTTTTTTAATTATCTTCAATTTTACCTCGTGACTTTACAAATTTTAGGGGAAAAATGTTGGTTTTTAAATTTTACTCTTTTATTCATTTTAATGTTCTATTTTTTATTTTAATATTGTAGTATTTTTTATCTTGTTTTTATTTACCTTCTTCAGTAATATGAATGAATTATTAATTGACACCCAAATAGGAAAATATAGGAAAGCGTCTCAGTATTCACATATTTGTTCAAAATAATAAGAGTACAAAATGCACCGCTCCCAATCTTTTTAGAAAATCAGAAAACACCATTTCTAGATCTTTCTAGTAATTTTTAAAATTTTTTTAGGCCAAAATCTACCAATCCGCCACGATTTTTTAGGTAGTTGAACCAGGTTATCATTCCACATTTTTTTTAAACGAGTTAAAACCCTATCCCTCTTGGGCCTTGCATAAATGAATGGCAAGGGACTCCCTCACAGGAGAGCACCTTGTTTGACCGGTCCGGTCATATACCCCAGAAACGCACATACTTACTTGCTACCTAAGGGACCACAAGGTCAACGAAAGAGGAAATAAAAGGGAAATTCGAACTTTAATTAGTAAAACTAACGAAGCAGCTATCACAGCAATAAAATGATGGATCCAAGGCAACCAATCCAACATTATGTAGACCTAATGATTGAAACATCCCAACCTACAAATTAAAAAGTGAATGAAGGAAAGCCCTATCATAATAATCAACCAAAAGATATTCAAATTTCACATTGTCTTGTTCTAACCACAAAGAATACTAACTCCATCAAGGAATGGAGGATTTTGCATTTATTTTCCAACATTATTTGATGGGGGTGTCTGGTGACCTATGTTGCCGTAGTCTCCTTTCTTGAGACAATAACTTAGCAAATCTGTAGAAACAAAGCCATAGCAATCACCACTGTCTGTTTCTTAGCAAAAAGTAAATGCTTTTTTTCTAGGAAAAATATAAGGGCAATGGTTAAACCCCTTCAAATGAAAACTATGGTGGTGTATGATTATCTATATTTAGAAATGAAAATAAAGGGACATACATCACCAAGGCTTCTTCATTGGTGCTTTGATTTTTCAAAGGTTCGAATAGGCCTGTCTCAACGTTAACCCTTGACACAGGATTTTTCAGTAGTTGTTGGCCGATGTTCACCAGGTTTTGGAGGTTTTCTTTTGTTGAGATGTCAACAGAAGCTGCTTCGTTCGATAAATCATCTTCCTGTATTATTCAAAGACAAAATATTCACATACTAATAATAGGAAAAGTATATAATGAGACTATTTATCTTTAGTACAAAGTGGTCACAATTAATCTTGACCATTAGAAGTGAAATTGGATGGTTACATTAATTGCATTGACCAAGCTCAAAGTTCAAAAGAAATTTTCTTCAACTTTATGATACATCCAAGCTATCAAATTCCACATTGGATGGTTATAAGTCACTGTGACCTTGTATAAAAGGTAAATGGTCTCATGGTATACAATCCCTTGATAAAAAATAAAACATTTCCAATGTGAGAGCTTCAACGAGCATTATCTGAACATTTGTTTTTTTAACTTGCCTCATATCTCGAACTCGGCCTTGGCTAAAGGAGAGCAAGTGGGCTTGGCCGAGCATGCACATGTTCTTATAAAAATTAAATAAAATTTGTAAAAGTGAAACAAAGAAAAGACATTCCTAAAAGTCCAAAAAAACCAAAAATATATATAAATCATGAATTTTGAAAAATTAGATTACATATGGAGACATTTTAGAAAATCCAAAAAAAAGGAAAGTATAAAATAGGGCACATGACAAGGAAAACTTGCTAATCATTGCAAAAAAAAAAACAATTCAAATTACATAAATTTTTATTTTATAAATTGTTCTATATATTTATATATTTTTATGAATTCTAGAAAATTTAAAGCGGCTCGAATTGCACCTAAGTACTCAGCTTGGAAAGAAGTTGAGTAACTCAGCCAAGTCTGAGTAGATTGTGCCAATTTTGAATCATTGATCTGAGTTGCGCTATATACTGCAGGTGTTATTAAAGCTTCACAAATTCTTATAGTTTTAGGTTACAAAACTAAGGTTTCATGAGTAGCTTATCTATGATTCGCATATTGTGTAATTTAACAAAAGCGTCATGTAAGATTCAACAAAACCAGACCATGCTCTATTACATGTTGCAAAAAAATTCGGGCTGAGCCGCTGAGTTTGTGATGAGCCATTTTATAGAAATTGCTCATAGTATGTGTGCCCCTTATTAGAAATATCATTTGTACCTGGATTCTTAGATAATTATCTTCCGAATTAAGCGCTTGAAATACAACAGAGTTGTGAAAATCCACCATGTCAGCACTTCCTTGAGTAAAACTCTCCACTAATGGCGAATTACCCTTGTTGTAAAGCCATCCAATTATACCCCAACCAGCGGCAGCTTTGGCACTATACGTGTTCTGAGTTTTCGCTGAACCAGTCCCAAGAGAGATGACAAGAAATCGAGCGTAATCTAATGGTTTGGTCTTAAAAAATTCAGGATTTCGTCGAGAAATCTCTTTTGTCACCTCACTGATCGCTACAAGTGTCTGCAAATAGAAGAAAAGAGTATATACCAAAACAAGTCAATCTCAATAACTTTGATGAAATTCCAGTTTCATTGAAAAGGGGGGAAAGAGAGAGATATTACAGGATTATTAGCAACAACCCCGCCATCAATGAGGTCAAAGAACCTGACCTCTCCCCCAGAACCTTTATTCTCGAAATAATGAGCAGGCAGGAAGGTTGGTGCTGCAGAAGTACCTATACAAATGTCCGAGAGCAGTGCATCCTGTGAAGTATTGCCGTCCTTCAGCTGTAAATTCAGGATTAGAAAAACATAAGCCTTCAAGTGGAAGGCTTAGGAAAAGCTAGTGGTGTGCTCAAAAGAAAATGGTTGGAAGTACTAAGAAAAGATATAAAGATTTATGACCGCACTAAGGGTATGGCCCTTAATTGAATATAATGGTGGATCAGAATTCTTACGGCCGACCCCGATTGGTTGGAATATATATATATATATATATATAGGGTGTTGTTTGTATAGAGCCGAGGCTCTAAACAATCAAATTTGAGCCCACCTCCAATAGTGTTGAGAAATATGGTTTCAATGGGGGAAAGTTTTGTGATAGTCTTAAATTATATTTTCATTTTTAGTTATAAAATTTAAAGCTTCAAAAATAGTATAGATCAATCAGATCTATGAAAAATTGAAAATCTTAAAAATTAACAGTCGAAAAGTGCGTTACAAGATGCACTATTTCCAAAACTTGAAATTCATTTTTTTTTCATGTCCATGCATCTTGATGTCGAGATGATCAATTTGATGATATTCGGGCATCAAAATAACCTCTTGTAGTGAATGTTTTGAAGTAGGCTCTAATTTGATTGTTTAGAGCCTAGGCTCTATATAAACTTTTTCCTATATATATATATATATATATATATATATATATATATATA